TGTCATGACAATCGACCACCCTACTTATTTGCCATTTTTAAGCACGGTGAGAATACATTTAGGGAGACAAGGCCATGTGAAATTAAATGGAATGATGAGACCTACTCATATCACTGTGGGGAAAATTCAACTACCAGTCCTTCATCACCTTGAACAAAATAGAGTGAATAAAACTCTTATATCAATCTAATAGTAATCTCCAAAGCCTAATTATGATATGCAAAACGAGCCCAATATTTGCTTTGGGCAAGTATTTGCAATATTTCGTTTCTATTATCTTCAAAGGATGGTTATAAAAATAAGTCAAAGGAACTCCCGCACTGACTAAATTAAGCGAATTGAAGTAGGTGATATGACAAAGTTGCTTTGAATGCGATATTAGCATCTAAGTTAACACAAAGCCCATACTCCGTGGAGGCACTGCAAGTTAATGAGTGTAGTTATGAAGGTCGATCCTGAAACATATATTAAAAAGCATGCATATTCGGAATAATATTTAAAAACTTCATAAACACTAACAAAGAAGATTAAGAAACATATATTAGCTGCTTCATGGATAGTATACAATGAAGAATAACTATGGTGAAACTATAAACTAATAAAATAACAAAAAGGTAAATTCAGAAAAATCATTTAAGAATAAAAGCAGATAATCATGGAGCTTGATGTAGAATAATAATTATAGTTATTAAAACATAGAATATTCATGCAACATATATAAATGCTTAAATCACATAAACAATAAACTCATTACTGTAAAGCAATGCGCTTTTATCTAATATGGAGTTTGATTATAACAAATTATACCTTTTAAAAGATCTGGGCACTCGGCATATGGTTCAACTTGCTTCCATGCACACGAGGCCTACCGATGGACGATGAGGGCCGAACCATAAAGCAATTACAAACGTAGCGCCGCACCCCAGCAAAGTTAAAATATATACAAACGCTATACAATCGTCTTTCATATATTTTGTAAATGTATAAATTATAATATTTAAAAGGAACAATCAGGTATATTTTTACTTTTTTGAGTTTGCCAGGCCCCCTCAATATCGTGTTTGGCCTCTTTCAATTCTTTATCTAGTATGACTATCCATTGCGACGAACCACTTCCTCTTGTTCATGGAGTATGCCGAGATCGTTTCAGAGTTCCTCCGGGTGAATGTAGCTTTAAGCGCCAATATGCTCAGTTATATGTATCTCGGCTTTCGGCTGCCCGCCCTCATCTTGTGCGAGCTTCATTCGAGGCATGGGGTGCCATAAAAGAGAGCGAAGACATACAAAATATAAGTCCAGTTAAGTCCCCATCTAAGGCTCTAAAAAGAATGAGGCCAGCCATACACAATCTGGCATTTCTAAATTTGGGAGAAACCTGCGTGATTATTGGTATTTTGTACAAGGTAGGCATTGCCGCCGTTAATTTTTTAATGCCGTGAAATTTGTTCTTTGTTGCTTATTTGCCTTTAACTAGTAACCCTCCAATTCATGTTTTAAACTAGTGATTGCTTAC